GTTCACAAAGCGTCAACCATACCATGTATGCCAACCACGACGACCCACCTCGTGCGCAAGTGGTGCTGCGAGATAGAACCACGGGCGAATCGTGGGTGAATCATGTCACGGTGGGCTGCCCCATGACCACTTAAATGGCTCACCTGCATGTGACGTCGCTTGAAGATGGCTTGGCCTTCCGCCTATACCGTATGCGCCCGGATATAAGACAGTGTTGAGTTGAAGACAGGGGGTGTCTATTATCCGGGTGTCTCTTATAAACAGGCTAGCCTCATTATAAGACACCTATTTGTGTGTACGAGGTAGGGGTTAGGGGCAATTGTATAACGAGGGGGTATCTTCTAAACGGTTCGTTGTCCATTTATAAGACTTATATGACACCGTAAACCATCCCAAATACAAGACAACCCAAGCATTTTTGCCCGTGTATGAGATCAGACATATATGTCTTATATCCGGGCGATGACGGTACAAGAGAGAACTCCTTAAGTTGATGCTGGAACAGGTAGGAGGAAACAGCAAAAGAAAGGATTGCAAAACAATGAAGCATGTGCACATGAGAGGACAGATGCATCACGTGTCACAAGAAACAACTTACGTTCTGCCTTCCGCGAAGAAAGAAAGGGAGTGAGAAAAAAAAAATGAATTTGGAGTCCACGGATAAATTTGACTGACAGAATACGTCTGCAACATGAGGAGTCAAAGGCGTATCAAAGTTGGAGAGACATAACAAAAAATGAGAAATGAAACATCGGTATGGTAGAAACGGGGGTATTCAATGATGGGGAAAGCTCATTCGTCCTAATATTCTAATATTACTTTCATCGCGCACAATCGCGCACCCACACGTCCTTCGCTTCCACGATCGTCCAAAGTGGTTAGTTGGTATGGCCATGGACTGTAAGGCTCATCCAGCTCAGCGCATACCGCATCCCCTCTGCTGAGCTTGGTAGGTGCTAACGCCTCCGTAGCATGCACTCCCGCCTCCTTGTCTCTGGCCTTCCCAGGTCTCTGCCCCCCCTCCCGCGCTCGCCTGCCCCGCCCTGCCTTCCTTGCGTCGAGGGACGGCAGCGCGCCGCTCCTCACTCCTCCTCGTTCCCTCCCACAGAGGCTCCCCTGCAGACTCTCCACATGGACATGTGGGGCCCAGCCCGCGTCCAGGGACAGGGCCGCGAGCGGTACTTTCTGCTGGTTGTCGACGACTATACGCGTTACACCACGGTCTTCCCCTTGCGCAGCAAGGGGGAGGTCCCTGATGTCTTGATCCCTTGGATCCGCGCTGTCCGTCTCCAGCTCCGCGAGCGGTTCCACACGGACCTTCCTGTCCTGCATCTGCACTCTGACAGAGGTGGTGAGTTCTCCTCCGACCTCTTGCGGGACCTCTGTCAGGAGGAGGGCATCACGCAGCAGAATGGGGTTGCTGAGCGCCGCATTGGCTTAGTCATGGAGGTAGCTCGTACATCCATGATCCATGCGGTTTCTCCCGCACCATTCCCTGTGTCTTCCTTGGCTTTGTCCCTGACGCGCCTGGCTGGCAGTTTTACCACCCCACCTCGCGCCGTGTTCTGTCCTCTCAGGACGTCACGTTTGACGAGTCGGTTCCCTTTTACCGTCTCTTCCCCTACCGCACTGCCCCTTCCCCCCCCCCTCCTCTCCCGCCACTCTTCCTCGCTCCAGGTCCCCCTCTGGTAGACCCCCCCCCCTCAAGGTCCTGCTCCTTGAGGCGTGTCTCAGGTAGAACCCCTTCCCGTGGTTGAGCCTGTCGAGGTCACTGGTGACTCTGGTGCTGTGTCTGGGGGTGCTGAGCCTGTGGGTGCGGAGCCTGTGGGTGCTGAGCGTGTGCGTGTGGAGCCTGGGGGTGCTGAGCCTGAGCGTGCAGAGCCTGGGGGTGCTGAGCCTGAGCGTGCGGAGCCTGGGGGTGCTGAGAGTGGGGGTGCAGAGCCTAGTGTTGCCGAGTCTGGGGGTGCTGCGCCTAGGGGTCCTGCTTCTCTACTCCGGGAGCCTCTCTCGCCGCGCGAGTGGTACGCTCAGCAGCTCCGCCTTTGGAGTGGCGCTGCTGGAGCTGGAGGCCCTGGAGCTGCTAGTCCTGGAGGTGCTGGAGGTACTGCTGGAGGTGCTCGGGGTACTGGAGGAGCTAGAGCTGTTAGTTCTAGAGGTGCTCGTACTGGAGGTACTGGAGCTGCCGGAGCTGGTGGTGCTGCCAGTACTGGTGGTGCTGGTGGTGCTGGCACTGCTGGTCCCGGAGGTGCTCGTACTGGAGGTACTGGAGGTGCTCTCTCACCACAGTCGCTGCGCGAGTGGTACGCTCAGTAGCTCCGCCTTCGGAGTGGCGCTGCTGGAGCTGGAGGCGCTGGAGCTGCTAGTCCTGGAGGTGCTGGAGGTACTGCTGGAGGTGCTCGAGGTACTTGAGGAGCTGGAGCTATTGGTCCTGGAGGTGCTCGTACTGGAGGTACTGGAGCTGCCGGAGCTGGTGGTGCTGCCAGTACTGGTGGTGCTGGCACTGCTGGTCCCGGAGGTGCTCGTACTGGAGGTACTGGAGGTGCTCTCTCACCACAGCAGCTGCGCGTGTGGTACGCTTAGCGCTGCCACCTTCGGAGTGGCACTGGTGGAGCTGGAGGCACTGCGGTTGGAGACGATGGAGCTGCTGGTCCTGGAGGTGCTCGTACTGGAGGTACTGGAGCTGCCGGGGCTGGTGGTGCTGGAGGTGCTGGTGGTGCTGGCACTGCCAGTCCCGGAGGTGCTCGTATTGAGGGTGCTGGAGCTACTGGTCCTGGAGACCCTAGAGCTTGAGGCGCTTGAGCTGGAGGCGCTTGCGCTGGAGGCGCTGGGGCTGGTGGCCCTGGAGGCCCTGGAGCTGCTAGTCCTGGAGGTGCTCGTACTGGAGGTACTGGAGCTGCCGGAGCTGGTGGTGCTGCTGGTGCTGGAGGTGCTCGTGGTACTGGCACTGCTGGTCCTGGAGGTGCTCGTCCTGGAGGTGCTGGAGGCTCCGGAGCTGGTAGTGCTGCGGGCTCTGGAGCGGGAGGCGCTAGAGCTGCAGGTGCTGGTGCTGGTGGTACTGGTGCTGGTGGTACTGCACAGCCGCGACTGTTCTTCGCTCCGCCGTCACCGTCGTCTCTGCCACCGCCTGACTCTGTGCTTCGCCAGGTTCTTAGCCTTCCGTCTTCTACTGGCCTCCGGTTACAGCCAGGCCTCCGGTTCCCCTCTGCCTGCTCCTTCTCCTTACACTGAGCAGACAGACTCGCTTACAGAGCATCGTGAGCCTGCGTCTCGTCCTGCCTCGCCTGTTCGCGCTCGTCGCACTGGTAGTCGTGTTTTTCGTCCGCGTCCTCCTCCTGTCCCTGGCACTCACACTATGACACTTCGTCCTTCCTCTGTTCCACAGCGTGTTCCCCTGCCGTCTCCTCCTGAGTCCTCTCTTCCGCACGTTCCGGACCCTCCGTCTGACGTAGTTCGTGCTGCCTGTCCTACTGTTACGCGTCTCTTAGCCACTGTTGTGATTGACCCGTCGTGACCACTGGTCTCTTGCTACTGTCTCTTGCTTTGCTTTTCTTGACTGGTCTTGTGACCACTGGTTCTCCCCCACTTTGCCTATGGAGGTGTGTCAAACTGTTATCATGTTTGTGGCTGTTATCATTCCTGCTCGTTAGTTTCTGACAGCTATGGGCGACCTCGTTTCTACTATACCCCCCGTTTTGGGTGATTTTTTAAAACACCCCCCTTTTCTTACAAATTCCTTAGTATCGAATAGGTGCAAGTACGGAGGGATATTGCGAAAATCCCTCGATGAAATTTCGCGGTTCTTTCACTTCAAAACTGCCGAGATTTCCCCAATCCCTCTTTTTCGCTGTCGCCACGCGCTAATGAATTTTCCGTTGCAAGTGGCCAGAGAGGTGCCACATGGCATTTTCGAGTGGGTGATGACGTTCGCGTCGAGAAGCCCCCCCCCCCCCCCCCCCCCCCCCCCCCCCCCCCTATTTTTTCCCTGTATTTTTAGCTATACACTAGGGTGTTATGTCCGGGACAGGCCCTCAGATTGGTTTTAGGGCATGCTGATGGATCAGCGTGCCCTGCCCAAAGTAATGACCAAATTAGCGTTGGGGGTTTAGTTTATACTGCTTTTGTCAGTGTAGAAATGTATGGTTAACTGACCAAAAAAATGTGAAAAAATGTACTTGAGCCTCGCTGCTAGTAGTACTGGCGTAGTTGTCTAAAGTATGATTGGTCCCGAGCTCAAATCCCGCGTGTGACGGGAATCCTGAGCCCCCATGTACGCGGACCCTATTTCTTGCACCCTATACATTTTGGGAAGTCCGAATCAGTGTGACTCGGTACACTGTACTGATGCTTCAATGTTACTGGTACACCTAAACAGTAATTCGTCAGGGTAGTCCTACACTTCAAACTGAAAAATCAGTGCAAACTTAGAGAAGATACTGAATTTTCAGGGAAAATTAAAATCACAGCTACAAAATCAGCCTAATCAGCGTGTTTTACGCTGATATCTGAGGGCCTGGTCCGGGAGAATACGAAAATCGAGGATCAGCCATAAGCGCATTGCTCTAGATAGAAGCACCATCCGTCGCTTTTAACAGGACGGCGCTTATATTCGGGCCCATACGTTGTATTACGTTTCTTGACACTCACACTTGATATGTAATTCCGCCCACCTCCTAATGACATCATTCCGCTATGTAATTGTGAGATATACGCCCGCTTGATACGGTTACTACGGTAATCGCATAACATTGGGAAACGGGACCATACAACTAGACTGCAATGTCATGACCCTCGTATGCACACGTCGATAATACCAGCCTGAAAGCTAGCGCTCCTTGATCATGCATTGAGTACCAATCTGCCTGCTGCTCATTGCTGATAATCCATCCATCCAATGCTCATTCAGCTGTCGTGTCGTCACCCCAGCTGTGGCACAACTCAGAGAGCCCTACTCGTGTACCACCACCCCCTTCACTCTTCATCCTCCCCTCTTCTTTCAGCGGTCAATGGTGGTGCTCTTGCAGGAAGCGCAGGCCGCAGTACTTGCAGACAGCAGGCTGAGGAGCGTCCACGTTGATGTACTCCACTGGATGGCCCAAAGCGGGGTTGGGACCTGATAAAAGAAGAGGTGGGGGAGGGAAGGGGTGAAGGGGAGGAGGGAGGCTGGTTGATGAGTAGGGCATGGGCTGAGGGGCGTCCACGTTGATATACTCCAATGGATGGCCCAAGGGTGGGGTTGGGGCTTGGCGGGCGTCGTGAGGGCAGGCGGAGGAGAGGATGGAAAGGGGAGGAGGGGAGGGGAAGGGGAAGGTTGATGCGCGTCCACATTGATTTACTCCACTGAATGGCCCAGGGTGGGGTTGGGACATGGGATGGAGAGGGGGGAGTGGAGAAGGGGGAAGAATGGCTCGGGTGCATGCATGCCAATCCAGATGAATTCCCGCACGCATGGGTACGCCATACAGTGCAGCGTAGCGTGACATACAGTGCAGGGCGACATGAGATGCAAAGCGACATGCGATGCAGGGCATCAGCCTCTCATGCGGCCTATATCTCTCCTCCCTCACTGGCAAGGCAAGACCAAACCTTCCTTCTCTCCCCACCTCCTCCAGTCCAATCCCCATCTCTCCTCTCCCCCGTTGCTCCTCCCTACCCCCACCCACCTCTTCCCTTCTCGCCCACCCACCTCCTCCCTCTCCTCCCCTCCCCCCACTTACCTCCACGGCAGACAACGACGCGCAAGTGCACGAGGATGGGCGGCACGGCGTTGACGAGCTCCATGGGAGACGGCTGCTCCACCCTCTGATGGCAAGAGGGGCAGCGCGGGGAGCGGATGGGAGGGGAAGGGAGAGAGGGGGGTTGAACCGTGCTGCACTGACGAGGATGAGCTCCATGGGCGACGACTCCTCCACCCTCTGTCACGCAGGGAGGCATGGGGAGAGAGGCAAGAGGTGAATGAGGTGTATGGGCGCATGGGGTTCATGAGCTCCACGGGCGAATCCTGCTCCACCCTCTGAGGCACACAGGCAGGTATGGGGAGAGGCAGCACACCCAGGTCAATGCGCGCACAGTGCTGCAGTCACAATGATGCGCGCACAGTGCTGCAGTCACAATGATGCGCGCACAGTGCTGCAGTCACAATGATGCGCGCACAGTGCTGCAGTCACAATGATGCGCGCACAGTGCTGCAGTCACAATGATGCGCGCACAGTGCTGCAGTCACAATGATGCGCGCACAGTGCTGCAGTCACAATGATGCGCGCACAGTGCTGCAGTCACAATGATGCGCGCACAGTGCTGCAGTCACAATGATGCGCGCACAGTGCTGCAGTCACAATGATGCGCGCACGGCACGGCGCTGATGCGCTCCATGGCCGATAGCTGCTCCGCCCTCTGGGGGCACGAGGGGCGGAGCAGGGAGGGGAAGAGAGGGGGGTTGAACAGTGATGCATGCACGGTGATGGGTGGATGGGGTTCATGAGCGCCACGGGCTCTGCCCTCTGATGGTCGCGGCGAGGCGGACGTGGGGAGATATGCATGGGGCAGGAGGCAAGACGAGGGGCAGAGAGGAGAGAGGCGTTGGGCGGTCCTTGGGTGACGACGCTGCTCTGCCCTCTGATGGCCTGAGGGGCGCAGCGGGGAGATTGGCATGGGGCACGATGCAAGATGGTGTGCAGGATGGCGACATGCCATGAGGAGAAGGGGAGAAGGAGAGGGAGAGGGAGAGGGAGAGGGAGAGGGAGAGGGAGAGGGAGAGGGAGAGGGAGAGGGAGAGGGAGAAGGAGAGGGAGAGGGAGAGGGAGAGGGAGAGGGAGAGGGAGAGGGAGAGGGAGAGGGAGAGGGAGAGGGAGAGGGAGAGGGAGAGGGAGAGGGAGAGGGAGAGGGAGAGGGAGAGGGAGAGGGAGAGGGAGAGGGAGAGGGAGAGGGAGAGGGAGAGGGAGAGGGAGAGGGAGAGGGAGAGGGAGAAGGAGAGGGAGAGGGAGAGGGAGAGGGAGAGGGAGAAGGAGAGGGAGAGGGAGAGGGAGAGGGAGAGGGAGAGGGAGAGGGAGAGGGAGAGGGAGAGGGAGAAGGAGAGGGAGAGGGAGAGGGAGAGGGAGAGGGAGAGGGAGAGGGAGAGGGAGAGGGAGAGGGAGAGGGAGAGGGAGAGGGAGAGGGAGAGGGAGAGGGAGAGGGAGAGGGAGAGGGAGAGGGAGAGGGAGAGGGAGAGGGAGAGGGAGAGGGAGAGGGAGAGGGAGAGGGAGAGGGAGAGGGAGAGGGAGAAGGAGAAGGAGAGGGAGAGGGAGAGGGAGAGGGAGAGGGAGAGGGAGAGGGAGAGGGAGAGGGAGAGGGAGAGGGAGAGGGAGAGGGAGAGGGAGAGGGAGAGGGAGAGGGAGAGGGAGAGGGAGAGGGAGAGGAAAAGAGAAGGGCGGGGAGGCAGAGTGCATGCGGGATGAGGGGAACGACGGCGAGAAGGATTAGGAGGAGAGGGGACGGAGGGAAAGTGAGAGACGGCAGGGGAGAGGGGGGGAAGGTTGGACAAGGGAACAGGCAGGCAGGTTAAAAAAGGAGGGGAGAGGAGAGAATGTTCCACGGTGCAACGGGGGGGGGGGGTAAGGACAGGCGTTGAGAATGGGAGCCGCTGGGAGCGAGGCGAGGAGGAAAGGGGCTGATTGTTGGAGAGGCGCGGAGCTCGATTGCGGTGCGAGCGACAGAGTCGACAACAGAGTGAAGCGGGGAGTGTGCGAGTGCGCACCATTTGAAGTGACTGAAAACGCTCGGAGGTCACTTAGCGCGCCATGTTTGGGGATTCGCACACACACTGTTACAACACGCGAGAAGGCTCGTCAGACTAGTAAGCGGCAGGCGGCATGCGAGCAGCAGATGCCTATTGCAACGCCTCGAGCGCATAATGAAACATTCGTGAACGCCGCTCGTCGGGCGCTAGTGAGCGGAAGGCGGCGCGTGTGAGGCGTGGACTTGGAAACGCCGTGAGCGACCTGTTCTGTCGCTCCACGTCGCTCGGCGTCAATGCCCCGTCGCGCGCTACCGTCGTAATCGCGTATCACGGCGAGTCGCACGTGCGACGGAAAGGAATCGGACGCGCAATCGAAGTGCAAGCGTCGCACTTGGATCCACTCGCTAGCATGAACGACACCCAGCACCATCGCGCCCTGCTGGTGATTCTTGAGACGACACCTGTCCTGTGGCCGGCGCCAAGCACGCGCAACATCACCTTGCGATGCCTTTCGAGTCGACTCAAAAGTCGCGCGTCGCATCGTGTTTTCGAAAAAATGCAAATATGTTTTGACAATGCTTGTCGCGTGGGAACGTGGTCTGAAAAAACGCCATGCGAGTAAAAATCGCGTCGCACCTGCATCCATTTGCTCGTGTGGTCCGCTCCGAGCACCATCGCGCGCTCCTGAACGAGCCGCGCAGGCTGCTGCTGCTGACTCAGCAGCGCGCCGCACGATCGACCGCGCCGAGCCACTGCGGCGAAAAGCCGGGAAGCCATTGAGCCACTGTGGAATCCTACAAGCTCGGAAAGCAGCACGAGTGCGTGCTATGAGCTGGTGCTATGAGTGTGGGTAGGACTCGCGAGTTCGTAGCGAGGAGGTAGAATGATGGCTTTCTAAACCTGCTGGCTTTCTAAACCTGCTGTCTGTGGGCGGGGTTCGTTTGCGAATTTCGGTAACTCATACTTCGAATTTCGCAACCACTCACCCTCCCTAATGAGGTGACACTTGAAGATGTGAAGTGCTCAAAACTGACCGAAACTCTTAATTAAAAAGTACCCGGCACGAAACCAACCTGCGATGAGGGCGCGAGAACCGAACGGGCGTGGTGTCGACATGTAAATACGCCTTACCCTAACACGCGAACTCACACCAAGAGAATTCCCTCTTACACCTTCCACGCGAACTCCGAAAAAAACTAGCGTCCTGGGGGCAGCTTAGGCAAGTCTGAGGGTAGTCAGCGTAGCGGCCACTCGAACTAGTGTCGATCGTGCGGCGCGCAGTGTCCTTGATCCCATCTCCTCGCTAGCCAGCGTAGCGACCACTCGAACCCCGGTTCCATCCGTCATCCTCCTCCGTCCGCCATCCACTCCTGCGCTCTATCGCCCCGCTTCTCACGCTCGTCGTTACCTCGACCCCATCTTCGCAATTACGCTCGACCTGATTGTTCTGCCTTACGGATCGATCTCTCTTATCTCTCATCGCCGGTCCCGCTGGCTCATCCGCGATCCGTTGCGGCCGTTGCGGCTCCAGAGTGGACTCGCACGTCCGGGTTAGGGTTTGCCCCCGCGTCGCCGTCAAGGCAACTATCTGGGCTTGTCGAGAGAGAAATTGAGCACGCGAGGCGACGCGACGCGAGGCGAGGCGACGCGATGGGGTGGAAGCCGGCGCAAACAGCGATCCGCGCGTGGAAGATCCTGCGCGGCGATAAGGTGAGCGGCGCGGAGGGGACGCGCGGCGTCACCCCCTCCCCTCCAACTGTTTCCCCACACGCAATGCTGCCGCCATGCCTGCCATGCCACGATGCAGCGCCCTTCTCCTTGTTCCCCCCCTCCCCCGTGCCCCCACCAGGTGATGGTGATGGCGGGCAGGGCAAGGACCGCGGGCAGGGCAGACATGTGAGTCGGCTCTGGAGCAACAGTGCTGCGCCCTTCTCCTTCCTCCCCCTCCCTCTGTCCCCCCAAGCTATGTTCGAAAAGACGCGTCCTGCGTCCTGGACGCATGCGTCCAGACGCATGCATCCAGACGCAGGACGCTGTACCAGGACCTGTAAGACGCACCAAAAGACGCAAGCCCGGGCAGGGCAAAAAAAACTCCCGGGCAGGCAAAAAAAAAGTAGTACAGGGCTTGGGAGAGGGGGGGTTGGGGACCTACCACACTTTCAATGCAACATTTTCCCCAACCACAAATTTGTACCCCACACTTTCAGTTTAGGTTGCAAGCTAAGCTAAGACCTAAAACCTCTATGGGTTTACGAAAGAGAATTGGTGAGGGGATAATGAGAAGCCACAAAAGCTTGCCAAGGTAAATGTGCTTGGTGGTGGTGGGCCACAAGGGTTGGGATTCGTAGATTTGAAGTGGTTGAGAGGTTTGAGTGAAAGTCAATTTTGATTGAGTTGTTAGGGAAATGTTGGGTGGGCTGGTTTTGAATGGCGATTTGGGGTTGGGGAGGGGGAATTTCGCGATTTTGACATTCGCGTCAAAATCGCGAATGTCAAAATCGCGATCGGAATTTTTTTTTTCGGGCTGCCCGAAAAATTTTTCGACGTGCGTCCTGCGTCTGGACGCGCGTCCTGCGTCCTAGCGTCCGGACGCAGCGTCCTAGCTGCGTCTTTTCGAACATAGCCCCCAAGGTGATGGTGATGGCGGGCAAGGACCGCGGGCAGGCAGACGTGTGAGTGGGATCTAGAACAACAGTACTGCGCCCTTCTCCTTGCTCCCCCCCTCCTTCTGCCCCTCTCTAGGTGATGGTGACGGTGGGCAAGCACCGCGGGCAGACGGGCACGGTGACTCAAAGCACCTTCATTCGTGCCCCGTGCCTTGCCTCCACTCCACGCCCCCCCCATGCCCCTCTGCCTTCCCACGTGATGTTGATGGCGGGCAAGGACTGCGGGCAGACGTGTGAGTTGATTGGCAAGTCACTTTATCCATTCCTCGTGCCGCCCCCCCATGACCTCCTCGGGCGCCAGGTGATGGTGACGGCAGGCAAGGACCGCGGGCAGACGTGTGAAGTCACTCCAGAGCCCAATGCCGCCCTTCTCCTTGCCCCCCCCCCCTCCCTCCCCCGCCCCCCCTCTCCCTCTGCCCCCCCAGGTGATGGTGACGGCAGGCAAGGACCGCGGGCAGACGGGCACGGTGACGGCCGTGCTGAGGGAGAAGAACCGCGTCGTCGTGGAGGGGCTGAACCTGGTGAGATTGGGGGGGAGGGAGAGGGGGAAGGGGGGAGCAGGAGGGGATGGAAGGAAGTGGGTTATAGCGGGCGGGGTGAGAGGGCGCAAGGGCAGTGCTGCGCGACAAGCACCGCGTGGTGTGGTGGTGGAGAGGCTCAACCTGGTGAGTTAGGTGGGGAGGGCGATGCGTGCGTGGGGTGATGATGGGAGGGGGCTGAACCTGCTGACGGGTTGAACCCGGTGCGTGGGGTGATGGGGAGTGGGGGGAGAGGGGGCAGGAGGGGAGGGAGGGAAGTGAAATGGGGCGGGTTATAGCAGGTGGGGTTAGTCGAGCTGTGCAGTGAGAGTGAGCGCACGTGCGTGTGGTTGAGGGGCTAACCGGGGTTAGTAAAGGGGGTGGGGCGGGAGACAGGTGTGAGTGAGTAAGGTTGGGGGGCGAGAAGGGGGGGGTGTGGGTGGGACGAGGGCGTGTGGAGGAGGGGCTCTCATGTGCTGATTCCGGCCGCCTTGCAGGAGGGTGGGTGTGACGACGGGTGATGGGGCACGTGGAGTGGGTGGTACGTTATAGCAGGCAGGGACGGGGCAGTGTTGAAGGCATGGTGTGTTGGGTGTGTGAGTGAGGCAGGGACGCGCGGAGAGAGGGAGAGATTGAGTGGGACAAGTGTTCCACGGGCTCATTGTCCCTGGTGGTGGTGGTGAAGCTTGGAGAAGCATGTCATTAAGACAACGCATTCAGCCCATGGGCCGTCCCACATCACGCATCTCATCTCACCACCCACACACCCACCCACCCCTTCTCCTGTCCCTCCTCCGACCGACCTCCCCCTTCTTCCTCTCGTATCACCAACAATTGTTCCAGGCATGATGTTCCCATGCCCCTCCCAGGCATGATGTTCCCATGCCCCTCCCAGGCATGATGTTCCCATGCCCCTCCCAGGCATGATGTTCCCATGCCCCTACCAGGCATGATGTTCCCATGCCCCTCCCAGGCATGATGTTCCCATACCCCTCCCAGGCATGATGTTCCCATGCCCCTCCCAGGCATGATGTTCCCATGCCCCTCCCAGGCATGATTTCCCATGCCCCTCCCAGGCATGATGTTCCCATGCCCCTCCCAGGCATGATGTTCCCATGCCCCTCCCAGGCATGATGTTCCCATGCCCCTCCCAGGCGTGATGTGCCCATGCCTCTCCCATCGCTCTCACTGCTTCACCACCACACAGGTCCCACCTCACAGCACATGTCACACTCACCTCTCTCCTTCTCATGGCCCCAACCATCAGCCGAAGAAGCACACATCTCACTGCCCAAAGCCCTCCACACCTCCCTCACACACAACTCTCCACCTCTTGCCCCCCCACCTGCTCCGCTCCCACCTGCTCGCTCGAGTGATGAGAGGGGAGGGCGAGCACTGCATCGCAGGTGTGCACACAGCTACAGCCCCTTTTTTCCAACGCTCACCACCCTCTTCCCCGTTTCCTCCTCCTCCTCCCCCTCCCAGTCCCCCCACAAGGCGAAGGAGCAAGCGAGGAAGTCAGCGGGCTCGCCACGGTGGAGGCATGCATTCACCCGGCAGTGCACCCACCGCTCCCTTCAACGCTCACCACCTTCTCTGTCCGATGTGTTGCTCCCCGCCCGCCCCCCCATCTGCTTCTCTTTCCCTGCCCGACCGTGGCTTCCCTTCCTTGCCTTGTGTTGCCTTTCCTTGCGTTGGTGCGCAACAGGCGAAGAAGCACGTGAAGAAGTCAGCGGACTCGCCCGGAGGAGTGATCACAGTGGAGGCACCCATCCACCTCTCCAACCTCTCTTTGCTCGACCCTGAGACTGGGTATGGCATGGCATGGCATGGCATGGCATGACATGGCGTGGTGTGGCGTGGCGTGGCTGCCAGCAGCCCTTCTGTCAGCCTCTGTTTTACCTTCTTATTTCATCTACCCCGTTCTTTACCATTTGTTTCCACTCGTCCCTCTCTCTCTCTTTCCTTTCCGCTCTCTCGCCTCTCCCATCCCCCCGTCCCACCACAGTGCGCCATGCCGGGTGGCCATCCGCTACACGGAGGAGGGCGCCAAGGTGAGGGTGGCGGCGGGCCGGAGTGCCTCAGGGGCCGTCATCCCTCGCCCTGAAATCCTCAAGAACCGCCGCACACCGCTCCCCACCGAAGGTGACCCACTCCCCTCTCTTCTACCCCCACCCACCAACTACCCCTTGTGTTTCTTCCACCCACCCATCCGGTACCACTCGTGGCCCCAGTGGTGCTCAGTCTGCCCTGCACCTTGCTGAAGCTGACCCATACCTCTCTCGTCTCCCTACACCAGCGCTGGTGCATGTGCTCTGCTGCTCACCGCCTCCCCCATGCATTTCCCCTTCATGCATACCTCTTCCTTATTCCCTCCTATTCCCACGCCCCTGGCACTCCCGCTCTCACTTGCTCTCATCCGCACTCAGCCGCCCCGCGGCCCACGGGACACAACTTCCTCTGCTGCATGCACTCTCCTCATTCCGGATGGGCTTGTGCACGTGGACATACAATCATGAAGGCAGGATGTCCGTACTCTCCTCATGCGCCCCCTACTCACCCTCTTCCCCCCTAAATCCCCCTCCTCCACTCTTCACTCCTCTCAGACAGACCTTGGGACACAAGTCGTGAGGCACCGCATGCAGTGTCGTACGATTACCAGTCAGGGGAGGGCGGGCTGCCCATCCCTCCTCATTCTCCCCTTGCCCGCTCTCTACCCCGTTACTTCCCCTTCCCCCATTCTGCACTCCTCTCAGCCGGTCCCAGAGACACAAGTCCCGAGGCAGCACACGCAGTGACGTACGACTACCAGTCAGGGGAGGGCGGGCTGCCCATCCCTCCTCATTCTCCCCTTGCCCGCTCTCTACCCCGTTACTTCCCCTTCCCCCATTCTGCACTCCTCTCAGCCGGTCCCAGAGACACAAGTCCCGAGGCAGCACACGCAGTGACGTACGACTACCAGTCAGGGGAGGGCGGGCTGCCCATCCCTCCTCATTCTCCCCTTGCCCGCTCTCTACCCCGTTACTTCCCCTTCCCCCATTCTGCACTCCTCTCAGCCGGTCCCAGAGACACAAGTCCCGAGGCAGCACACGCAGTGACGTACGACTACCAGTCAGGGGAGGGCGGGCTGCCCATCCCTCCTCATTCTCCCCTTGCCCGCTCTCTACCCCGTTACTTCCCCTTCCCCCATTCTGCACTCCTCTCAGCCGGTCCCAGAGACACAAGTCCCGAGGCAGCACACGCAGTGACGTACGACTACCAGTCAGGGGAGGGCGGGCTGCCCATCCCTCCTCATTCTCCCCTTGCCCGCTCTCTACCCCGTTACTTCCCCTTCCCCCATTCTGCACTCCTCTCAGCCGGTCCCAGAGACACAAGTCCCGAGGCAGCACACGCAGTGACGTACGACTACCAGTCAGGGGAGGGCGGGCTGCCCATCCCTCCTCATTCTCCCCTTGCCCGCTCTCTACCCCGTTACTTCCCCTTCCCCCATTCTGCACTCCTCTCAGCCGGTCCCAGAGACACAAGTCCCGAGGCAGCACACGCAGTGACGTACGACTACCAGTCAGGGGAGGGCGGGCTGCCCATCCCTCCTCATTCTCCCCTTGCCCGCTCTCTACCCCGTTACTTCCCCTTCCCCCATTCTGCACTCCTCTCAGCCGGTCCCAGAGACACAAGTCCCGAGGCAGCACACGCAGTGACGTACGACTACCAGTCAGGGGAGGGCGGGCTGCCCATCCCTCCTCATTCTCCCCTTGCCCGCTCTCTACCCCGTTACTTCCCCTTCCCCCATTCTGCACTCCTCTCAGCCGGTCCCAGAGACACAAGTCCCGAGGCAGCACACGCAGTGACGTACGACTACCAGTCAGGGGAGGGCGGGCTGCCATACCCTCTCCATTCCCCCCTGCTCGCCCTCACCCCCCTTTATTCCCGCTACCTTCCCACTCTCCTTCTTCTCAGCCGGTCCTAGAGACACAAGTCCCGAGGCAGCGCATGCAGTGACGTATGACTACCACTCAGGGAGGGCGGGCTGCTCATCCCTCTCATTCCCCCCATTTCCCCCTTCACGCCTACCATTCTGCAATCCTCTCAGCCGGTCCCAGAGACACGAGTGCCGAGGCAGCGCATGCAGTGACGTACGACTACCAGTCAGGGGAGGGCGGGCTGCCCCCTTTAGTGTGGCGCAACGAGCGGTGGGAGGTGGACACAGCCAAGTGGCAAGCCAGGATCGCTGCTGCTGCCAAGATGCGCGGGTCGGCAGGGGTGAGGGGCGCTGCTGGCAAGGCTGTGAGCGCGGCGGGGCGCGGTCATAAGGCTAAGGGGACGGAGAGCTCAGTGAAGGTCTAGGCAGAGGAGTTGGGCGTGGTGTGGTGTGGTGTGGTGTGCTGTGCTGTGCTGTGGTGTGGTGTGGTATGGTGTAGTGTGGTGCGGTGTAGTGTGGTATAGTGTGGTGTGGTGTGGTGTAGTGTGGTGTAGTGTGGCACAATACCAAGGGCTGGTGGAAGGTGGACACCGCCACATGAAGGCCAGAATCGTTGCAAGCCACCAAGATGGGGCGGTCGGCAGGGGTGAGGGGCGCTGCTGGCGAGGCTATGGGCGGGGCAGGGCGGGGCGCGAGTCCAAGGGAGCAGATGGTCGAGGCAAGGACAAGTGAACGGGGCATGGCAGGATCGATGACGCTACCAGTGTGCGGGGTCGGGTGGGATGCGGGGAGGTCCTGGCAAGGCTGTGGGTGTGGCAGGGCATGGTTATTAGGAGGGTGGGAGCACGGCCAAGGGCAAGTGAGATACGCAGAGGAACCGGGCGTAGCGTGGTGGGATGTGGTGGGGTGTTGCGAGGTGTGGTGCAGAATGGGCGGTGGGAGGAGGACATGTGGTGGTGGCTGGCAGGCAAGGATTACAGGTGGTGTCCGTGAATGGTGTGCTGGGGCCCATACTGACTGAAGCGGCGGGGTGAGGGAGGGGTGCTGCCAAGCTGTAGGGGCTGCTCAGCCTGTGCATGCACACCATTCAGCAGGCGTGCTTAGGGGAGGTATATAATGCATTTCAGCGCACCGGGGGGAGGTCACATCGCATGGTAGAGCGTGAGATGGCTGCAGTACAGTTGTCTCAGGGTACTGGATGTAGCACACCGTAGCATGCTGTTGTGTGTCGGATACCGAGGCAGGAGGGAGGGAGTGAGCATGGATTACGGTAGGGAGAACAGCAACGCAGAAGTGCAAATGATTGGAGTGTGCTGCAGCTCTCTCATGGATTCATCGAGGCTTGAGCCATTGTTGAAGTGTAGTGTCAGGTCGAACCAGGCTTTAACAAGGAAGTGGTTTGGTTAGGAGTGGGCCATGGTGTTATGAGTTGTGAAAGAGAAGAGTGCGCAGAATTCAATGGCGCGGAAGTGATTACAACTACTGATATAACCAAGGATCAGCAGATAGGATAGAATCTGTTAAGTCTAAGAGGAAACAACGAAGTTTCTGTAATGACCTTGTTGAATAATGGTTGAAAGAGAACAAAATAATGGAAAGATAGGAGTACAAGAGATTAAATAGAAATCTAGCTAGCCATGTACTCTGAGGGGTACATTCCCTTATTAACTGTATTGCATAGCTACAGCAACCGCGACTATTGCTATTCTCGACAGTTACCGTGTTGCAGCCAGTTAACTGTCGCGCGGTTACTGGATCGTCAAGGGTCACGACCGTTGACTATCTTAGACGGTTGACCTTCGGGTGACCCTCGACATTCCGCGTGCTCTATATGAGCTATTGCGGTACTAGTACAGTGGAGCAGGTTTGTGAATGCTTATATAACCTTTCGGTTATTCCAACACTCCCCTTCATTCCTGAAGGTGGGCCACGTGGGATTTCTTGGTGATCCCGCAGAGGTCGGCGCAGTGCTGGTACTGCTGACGTGGCAGTTTCTTCGTCAGGAAATCGGCTGCCATGTCACCGGTCGGGCAGTACGTCAGCTTGACTCTCCCCTTGTCGATTTCGTCCTTCACGAAGAAGTAGCGAAGGCCGATGTGCTTGGTGCGGTTGACGAAGCCGGGCTTGTTCGCGATCTTTATTGCACTCTGATTGTCGCAGAGTAACGTGAAGTGCCCGTTCATCGTCACCTTCGCCTCTTGCAGAAGTTCCATCAGGTACAGTCCTTCGCGAACAGCTGCGCTGGCTGCGATGAATTCTGCTTCAGCTGACGAAAGGGCGATGAGTTCCTGCTTCTGGGAGTTCCAAGAGATGAGTCCAGCAGGTTGGAGTTGGAAAATGAATCCTGAGCAGGAGCGTCTATTGTCAACATCTCCAGCGTGATCGGCGTCTACGTAGCCATGGAGCTGCAGGGTGGCGGTGAGGTTAGCTTCGTAGGTGAGACCGACGTCAGGAGTGGAGATGAAGTACTGTAGTGCTCGGCGTAGATCCAGCAGATTCTCCCCTTCAGGTCGCTTCAGGTACTGTGCGAGCTGGCTTGCGACGTAGGAGAGATCGGGCCGGCGGCGAACAGGAGACATCCCAGCTGCTGCTGATAGAGACGATGGTCGTCGGGAGAGAGTGGTGTCGGGCTCGTGGTTAGGAGGAGGAGTGCGATAGGGGGTGGTGAGGTTGATAGGGGCGATGGCGAACTGTTTCGCGAGTGTTTCGGCGTATTTGGCGGCGGAGAGGTGAATGGAGGAGGCGGACTGAGTCACGTTGAGGCCGAGAAATTGCGTAACGTTGTGGTTGACGGTCACCTCCAGCTTCTCCTTAATGTCAGCCTCAAACTGGTCCAGCAGCTCCGTGTCATCTATGGTGTAGAGGAGGTCATCGACGTAGGCGACGAGGAGGATAAATTTCTCGCGCAATTCCCGCCTGTACATTCCGAGGTCGTGCGGCAGCTGAGTGAAGCCGAGCTCAAGGAGGACGGAATGGAGGTACTGCTGCCACAGACGAGGGGCCTGCTTGATTCCGTAGAGGGATTTTTGGAGGAGGCACACGGCGCCATCGTTTTCTTCGAAAGCGTGCGGCTGCTCGACGAAGATAATGGCATCGACGGGAACGTATAGGAAAGCACTGCCGACGTCGATTTGCCGGAGTGGTCGCTGTTTGACGGCGGCGATGCAGATGAGAATGCGCACCGAGGTGTGGCGGCCGACTGGAGCGTAGGTGAGAGTGAAATCCACCAGGTGAGTTTGCTCGAATCCCCGCACCACCCAGCGCGCCTTGTACTTGTCGATCGAGCCGTCTGCGAGAGTTTTGATGCGGAAACCAATTTTCCGCTGAGAATTTTTCTCCCCTTCGCCGATGACCGAGGGACCAGCTTCCAGGTGCCACGCTTCTTCAGCGACGCGATTTCGGCGGCCATGGCTGCTCTCCATTTTTCACTGTCGGGGCCAGACAGGGCTTGGCGGACCGTGGTTGGTTCCTTTGGCGAGGTGTGGCGAATAGCGACGGCGAGGCCGAGAATGCGAAGACCGGTTTTGTCAGTCTTTTCGTAGTGAAGGCGGTCGTAGTCGTGGAAGCTGGTAACTTCGACCACGTCGTCATCACTGTCGTTGCCGAGGCGGAGGGTATCCCGCGACGTATTGGGTTGTGGTAACTCAGCATCAGGTGATCGGCACGCATCGCTGTTGTAGTCATGAGCCTCGCGTGTTATATCGTCAGGATCGGGTTGGTGTAGAGGTACGAATATCGGAGTCCCGAATTGGCTTGTTAGGGGGATGCTCGGAGCGGAGTCCATTGGGGTGACATCAGGTGCGTCTGCATCCTCGGCCAGGTCAGCTTCGTCGTGTGACGTGGCGAAGCTGCGGTGGCCCTCGAAGAGCTTCTCAGGCAATTTGTCGGCTTCCTGGTGCTCCTTGAAAAGGGGCAGAGTCAGCTTCTCGTAGAAGATGCAGACGCGTGATTTCGTCACCTCGTGTGTCGCGTAGTCCAGCACGATCCACGCCTTGAATTCCTTCTTGATCCCGAGGTGGATGCCCCATCGTGCTCGGTCAGCAAATTTTCCGGTCCTTGCAGTGTGGGGTCTGTACTGTACCATGCAGCCGAAAACCCAAAGTAGACGTGTATCCGCTTTTCTGCCTGTCCATGCCCGGTAAGGAGAGTTGTTGTTCTCGAGGCTTCGCGAGGACAGCAAGTTGTGCAGCCGAACAGCGTGATTCATCGCAAACGGCCAATATTTGGTTGGGATGGCCAACTGCTTCATCAGAGCCCTCATCTGCATTGCGAGGCTCCTGTTTGTCCGTTCTGCAACTCGGCTCCTATTTGTCCGTTCTGCAACTCCTTGCTGTTGGTGAGCGTAGGGCAGGGACACCAGGTGCTCAATCCCCTTCTGCTTGAAGAGCTCCTTGAACTCGTCTGAGAAGAACTCCAGGGCTCCGTCCGTCTGCCAGGCCTTGAGTTTTAGCCCAGACTGTCGCTCAGCCCGCTTCATCCACGCAATGAAGCACTCGAAGGCCAGTGACCTGCAGTCGGTGTTGATGGCCCAGTCGTAACGTGTAGACACGTCGATGAAGGTGAGCATGTACCGCTCCCCTTCGAGCCCTTCCTGACTGAGTACCATGAAGTCGCTGTAAACCTTATCCAGCGGCTTGTAGCGTTCGTACCCCGGAGGTAAGTCGGGGAACGGCTGGTGGTTGAGCGATACAGTTGGGCAGACGATGCACGGCGGATTGGGAGAGTCCACGGTGAGGGAACCGTCTCGAGGGAGGAGGAGCGCGTCGTCGTGTCTTGAGTGAATTTTTTAGCGTGGCGTGGGAGGGGTGTCCGAGCCGTTGGTGCCATGTTCGTGGGTCCGCACGGTAGCCGACTGTCTTCTGATAATATTTTTGCCGTGCTGCTTCGTCGTTTGCCTCCCCTTCAGGTCCTACGTTGGTGGCGTTGTCGGTTGTCAAACATTGTATGTTTATATTGTGTAGGCTATAGTGGGTTTAGCCTTAGAGGGTACACAAACTTAGGGTTTCATACTTGTACCCACCTTCCTGCTAGTTCATTCATTCTCGTTCTATTCTAGATTCTGACATGGTATCAGAAGCCTAGGTTGCTACCTAGGACCGCTTTCTACAATGGGCCCACTATTCCGCTAGAAGCGCCCTCGTGCGCCCTACCTTACGTGCGCCCTCGTGCGCTCTACCTTACGTGCGCCCTCGTGCGCCCTCGTGCGCCCTCGTGCGCCTTTCTCTGCTAGTGCGCCTTCGTGCGCCCTCGTGCGCCCTCGTGCGCCCTCGTGCGCCCTCGTCCGCCCTCGTGCGCCCTCGTATGCCTTCGTGCGCCCTCGTGCGCTCTCGAGCCGCCCCTGCAGGTCCGTCAGGCCCCCGAGCCGCCGCTGCAGGCCCGTCAGGCCCGAGAGCCGCCCCTGCACACCCGTCAGGCCCGCGCGCAG